CCCCCCATCCCAATCCTTCTCCTTCCCCCCTCCCCCCCACCCCCTTCTGAAGGAAATGTTTTTATGCATAATTCTTTGGTAATAGTTGGATGCCGGTGGTTTATGCCTGTAATCCTAGCCACTCAGGAGGCTGAGATCTGATGATCATGGTTCAAAGCCAGCCCAGGCAAGAAAATGAATGAGACTCATCTCCAAATAACCACCAGAAAACCAGAAGTGGTGCTGTGGCTTAATGTGGTAGAGCACTCGCTTGAGTGCAAGAGCTCAGGGACACCACCACCATCACCACCAAAAATTCCTTGGTGATAGCTATCACAAAGACCCAAAACCAGCGCTGGTGGCTCACACCTGTAATCCTAGCTACTCAGGAGAGGCTGAGATCTGAGGATCGCGGTTCAAAGCCAGCCCTGGCAGGAGAGACTGTGAGACTCCTATCTCCAATAAACCACCAGAAAACCAGAAGTGGTGCTGTAGCTCAAGTGGTAGAGCGCTTGCCTTGAGCTGAAGAGCTGAGGGACAGTGCCCAGGCCCAGAGTTCAAGCCCCACGACCAACAAAAACAAAACAAAACAAAGACCCAAAACCACAAGCTTGCACAAAACCCACAGAAACCACATGGAAAAGCACATTTATAACCATAACATCTTTTTTGTTTTTTTGCCATGGGACTTAAACTCAGGGCCGAGAAGCTGTCCATGAATTCTTTTGCTCAAGGCTAGGGCTCTACTACTTTGAACACAGCTCCACTTCTTGTTTCCTGGTAGTTAATTGGAGATAAGAGTATCAGACTCTTCTGCCCCATCTGGCTTTGAATTGTGATCCTCAGATTTCAGCTTCCTGAGTAGCTAGGATTACAGGCATGAGCCACCAGCACTTGGCTCTTAACATTCTTGTTATTTATTGGAGACCACTGTTCTCCCTAAGCAAGACTGAAAGTACTTGACAGTGCAAAAGTACAATGTCAAGAATGCCTACAAGACAGATGTCACTTAGGCAAAGTACAGAGGCATGCACAGGAAAACAGTGGCCCTGTCTTTTATACTAAACCTGCACCCATGATTAGAAATAAGAAAATAGATTACTCAAGAATATTATCATGCCAGGTGCCAGTGACTCACACCTGTAATCCTAGCTACTCAGGAGGCTGAGATCTGAGAATCGCAGTTCAAAGCCAGCACAGGCAGGAAAGTCCGTGAGACTCTTATCTCCAATTAACCACCAGAAAGCTGGAAGTGGCATTGTGGCTCAAGTGTGAGAGCGATAGCTTTGCTGAAGAGCTGAGGGACAGTGCCTAGGCCCAGAGTTCAAGAATGATGTATGCTATGTGATGGAAAGAAAAATTCATTTTGAAGAGGCAGTCAGATTTTAACCTTTCTCCTGTCACTCGTTCTTGTTCTTGTAGTTTAACATCCAGAAGTAGGTAGGGTGGGGTAGATTAACTACCTTTCTTCAACTTTCCTCCTAGTTTCAACTTCTGAGGCTGCCCCTTTTTACATTTAAATAAATTTCCTTTATCTGTCTACGGATAATTTTCTTCATCCTGCCTCAGTATGATCTTACCCTCCCTCCAACGATGCAGTATAATTCTTTGGTTTGTAGACTGTTTTAAAATTAATTTGAATACTTTAGGGAAAAGTTCTGGATTTGTACCTTTTAAAAACACCCGCTTAAAAGTACTTTGTTAAAATAGTTTCAGAGGTCTTTGGATCCATTTGATTAGAACTTCACCTAGATTTATGTGGATTATCTCGACAAGATCACCAACACATTCCAAGAGCACACATGAAAACCTTTCAACTTCATTCAGAATCGTAGCCACCATAGAGGTAGCCACCATAGAAACTTTCAGGAATGAACATTCACATTCCCTCTACCATAATATTCCCGAAGGGAAAAGCGCCAGATTGCATAACACCTCGACAGCGAGTGAAAGGCACCACACAGCCTTCTCACCATCCAACAAAGGTGTTGACCAGGGTTCTTGAGCTCGCCCCCCACTCAGTTACTAGCCCCGGTTCACATAACTAGGCAGCCAATTGGGCCGTGTGGATGCCGTGCATCCTGGGAGTTGTAGTTTCCGACTCCCTCCTGCAGACTACAAGCTCCACAGAGCGGCTGGAGGACGGTTGCCTGGTGTCACCAGCGAGCCGCAAGTATGGCGGCGGCGCGCGCCGACGGGACTTTGCCTCCGGGAGAAGGTAAGGGGATTCCGCACCCCTGACTTCACGGTTTATTTGGTGGAGCTGTATTACACAGTCGCCTGATGGAGAGGAGAAGCCTAGGTTTGGAAGAGCAGTTCTGAACCAGTTCTTCGGATGCGGGGCTGTGGGCATCGGAGAGGCGCGCTGTCTTGTGGGAGTTGTAGTTTCAGGACGCTATGTAGCCCTGTAGCATTGCGGCGAGCGCGGGGTAGGGGGACTTCAACCCCCAGGAGCCTTCGCGATCCAGGGCACCCCAGTCCCGCGCTCCCCTAGCCTGGCTGGGTGGTGGGTTTCGGACTGCGGTGACCTTTCTGGGACATTTACTTTTGAGTTCCGATGGTGCCCGAGGGAAATTGGCCGGATCTCTCTTTTGCTTCGGCCGTCGCCCTTTCCCCTCCGTTTCTAGAACGTTCCGGAAGCATCACATCAACTACTGCTCCGTAGACTGCCTGAACTGTTCCTTGGAAGTGGAGGGTGGGCGCGATGAAAGAAAAAATCCGGGGGGTGACCCAGGGTCCGTGGTCTTCCACTCCCTCGTTGTGCGGACCCGGTAGGCCCCGGGTTCGAGGGTGCCCGAACCCGACCGCGCTTGCGGTCGGCGGGGAGCTCGCTGCGACGCCGGCCGACCCGAGGTCCTTTTGTTTGGGCTACGGGTCGGAGGCTTGGGGGGGGGGGTTCCGGGCTCGCCTCCGCGCCCGGGGCCGACGGTCCGGGAGCCGGGGATCCCTGCAGGAGGAGGTGGCCGGAGGGTGGGAGAGGTGTGTGCACCGCCGTGGCTGGGACGGCGCTCGGGTGCGTGGCGTTCCCCGGGGGCTCGTCACCCCCCCTCGAATGCCAGGAGCCCCTACACCCCGCAGGGACGGGGAAAGCCTCCCGGAAGGGGAGCCGCACACCCCCGTGTCCCCCCTGCCATCCTAATAAGACATTTGAAATTGGCAGTTGCTCTGGCCCCGCCCCCTCAGGGAGCTCCTTTCTTCCCCTTTATCCTGTCGCCTTTCCAGAGTATTCTGAACGCCTTGCTTCTGTGACCTCTCCTTTTACTGGCTTCCCGTGTGGAACATGGATAAGACTGGCATTATCAACATCCTCATCCTACAGGAGTCACTAACTTAGCCCGGCGCCGGTGCCTCACGCCTGTCATCCTAGCTACTCAGGAGGCCGAGATCTGAAGATAGCGGTTCAAAGCCAGCCTGGGCAGGAAAGTCCGTGAGACTCTTATCTCCAATAAACCACTAGAAACCTAAAAGTGGTGCTGTGGCTCAAGTGGTAGAGCACTCACCTTGAGCTGAACAGCGTAGGGACAGCGCCCAAGCCCAGAGTTCAAGGCCCACAACCGATGAAAAAAAAAAAAACAACCCCAAAACAACAACAACTTGCCTACAATACCACAGTGGTTAATGCGATCTGAACTACAGTGCTTTGTTGAGGGTTGTATGTACATAATTTCTCCTTTAACTCTCACCCCAACCTTAACTGAACTGTAGATTTCTAAAATAGTTCGGGCCTTTGGCATATAACCATATTTAAAGTTGATCATTTTCATTAATTTTGTTTGTTTTTGGTGCTGGTCCTGGGGCTTGAACTCACGGGCTGGACACTGTCTCCCAGCTTTTTTTTTTGTTCAAGATTAGTGTCCTACCACTTGAGCCACAGCTTCACTTACTTTTTTTTTGTCAGTCATGGGGCCGGAACTCGGCCTGGGCGCTGTCCCTCAGCTCTTCAGCTCAAGGCCAGCACTCTACCACTTGAGCCACAGTGCCACTTCCGGCTTTTTCTGCTTTTGTGGTGCTGAGGGGTCTCATGCATACAAGGCAAGCACTCTACCACAAAGCCGCCTTCCCAGCCCCCACATCCCTTTTTTTTGATGGTTAATTGGAGATAAGAATCTCATGGATTTTCCTGCCCTGGCGGGCTTTGAATCACCATCCTCCAATAGCCCTCTGAGTAATGAAGATGAGAGGCATGAACCAGCAGCAACCAGCTTCACTTCCAGTTTGAAAATGCTGTATTATAAACAAAATATGGAATTATTAGTTCATGCATAAATGTGAACAATATGAAAATATAGAATCATATACCATAGAAACATTTTCACAAATGTTATTTGCTATCTCTAAAGAAAAGTGAGTATATCATCAACCTGTGGTTATTTAGAATTCTAGACGGCTTCAGTCTTAAAAATTTTGATTTTCTGTTTTCTAATTTATGTAGAGATTTTATTCTATCCCTGTGTTCTGCTGCTGTATTTATTTTGTGTTTTCTAACAAATTTTTCTTTTTAAGGATCAGTAGTCAATTGGTCAGGCCAAGGACTACAGAAATTAGGTCCAAACTTACCCTGTGAAGCTGATGTACACACTCTGATTCTGGATAAAAATCAGATTATTAAATTGGAAAACCTAGAGAAATGCAAACAATTAATACAGGTGGGTATTGCTGTCTAAGAAAGAGTTACATAGGACTAATTTATAATCACACAAAAGAAAGCAGAAAGCATTCACGACTAAAAATCACTACATGTTTTCTTCAATTTTTACATGGCAGCTCTCTTGAAAATGAACCCAGATGTGCTACATTTAGACTAGAAAAAGCATTGTTAAACAAACAAAACAGTTTAGATTGAAAAAACACTAAGGCAACTTTTTTCTTTCCTTTTTTTTTTTTTTTTTTTTGCCAGTCCTAGGACTTGAACTAACTTTTGCCTTTGTGATGGGGAAAGGAATTCATTTGCATTTGTTTGCTACTTCAGTATGTTTGGTGCTGGTGTGTGTGTGTGTGTGCTGGTGTGTGTGTGTGTGTGCTGGTGTGTGTGTGTGTGTGTGTGTGTGTGTGCTGGGGTGTGCTGAGGTGTGCTGGGGTGTGTTGGTGCTGGGGTGTGTGTGTGTGTCCCGCATTCCTGGCACTTAACCTCTGGGACTTAGTACTGTTCTGAGCTTTGTGGGGTGTGTGTGTGTGTGTGTGTGTACTGTTCTGAGATTTGTGGGGTGTGTATGTGTGTGTGTGTGTCCTGCATTCCTGGCACTTGAGACTGAGTACTGTTCTGAGCTTTGTGGGGTGTGTGTGTGTGTGTGTGTGTGTGTGTCCTGCATTCTTGGCACTTGGGACTGAGTACTGTTCTGAGCTTTGTGGGGTGTGTGTGTGTGTCCTGCATTCCTGGCACTTGGGACTGAGTACTTTTCTGAGCTTTGTGGTATGTGTGTGTGTGTGTCCCGCATTCCTGGCACTTAACCTCTGGGACTGAGTACTGTTCTGAGCTTTTGTGCTCAAGGCTAGCATGCTACCACTGAGCCACAGCTCTTCTGGCTTTTGGGGTAGTTAATTGAAAAGTCTCATGGAGTTTCCTTTCTGGACAGGTTTCAAACTATGATCTTCAGATCTCAGACTTCTGAGTAGCTAGAATTACAGGCTTGAGCAACTGGTGCCTGAGTTCCTGATTTTGTTCTAGGTTTTGATTGTTGAGCTTATATTCACAAGTTGTTGGTGTGTTAAAATTTTCTTTAAGCAGTTAGGGATGTGCCACAAGTTCTTTACCTAGCAACCTTGAGGCTTTGAGTTCAATCCTTATGGCTGGGAAAATAAACAAAAACCAACAAACAATAACTGTAGCAATTGAAGGAGATCAATTTTATTTGTATTTTCTATTGTTAGGAACAACAAAAACATAGTTATAATGTAGATAATAGTTTTAGATAATATATGTGAAAAGTACAAACTGAGTTTGTGCATTTGTGAACATTTGGCCATCTAAACAACCCTTTTCAGCCACTGTAATGGATATGAATATATGAGTGTGTGTATGCTTATATGTTTATACACATGTGGGGATAATGATGTTTCCTTTTCACAGTTGTCAGTGGCTAATAATCGCCTGGTTCGGATGATGGGAGTGGCCAAACTGACTCAACTCCGAGTATTAAATTTACCTCACAACAGCATTGGCTATGTGGAAGGTCTAAAGGAACTAGTACATTTGGAATGGCTGAATTTGGCAGGAAATAATATTAAGGTAAGTTGTTACTTGTTTGCACTAGTTTTTTTTTTTTTTTTTAGAATTGCCAATCTGTTCTCTTAAAAAAAAATCAAAACAAAACACATAGAAGGGGCTGGGAAAGTGGCTCAGTGGTAGAGTGCTTGCCTTGCATGCATGAGGCCCTGGGTTCGATTCTTCAGCACCACGTAAGCAGAAAAAGCTGGAAGTGGTGCTGTGGCTCAAGTGGTAGAAGGCTAACCTTGAGCTGAAGAGCTGAGGGACAGTGCCCAAGCCCA